CAACCTAGAAGCGATGGCCTCCAACCTACTAGAGATGGCCTCCAACCCACCTCCACCCTAGTAGTGGTGGCCTCCAACCTACTAGAGATGGCCTCCAACCTACCACAGATGGCCTCCAAACAACTAGTGGTGGCCTCCAACCCACATCTTTAGACCGATCTTTTTCTTCCTGCGTTCTTCCAAGTCTTCCTTTTCTGCTTATACTACAAGCGCGCGACTGTGATGCATGCACCCCCGACATCATACCTCAGCTGCAAGGCTCCAGAGTTGACACATTTCAGCATACTCACAGCAAATGAAACCTGAGGCTTGGGTTCGAACCCGTTCAAGTTTCGCACGGCCGCCGCTGCATGTGATGGGTCTCCATACCTTAAAACTTGCCATATCTCAGCATCTTCGGGGGAAGTATGAGAGACTGAGCAAGGACTCAGCAAGGGACTTGACAAAAGCATAGCCAAAGCCGCCAAATCTTCTAGATGGGCACACCTGTTCAGCACTGCTAGAGCTTACTAGAGTCCAAGACACAAGGCTTTTTCAAAGCTGGTGGCCGTCCATTTTGCAAATCGATCCAGAGCCCCCCACCCTGGACGACCAAATTCGGCCAAATCGATCAAAGAGCTGAAAGAGGTGCGCATCGTTGAAGCCTAAGTTGGAGCGACACATGAGCTCAGATCCAACTGTAGCCGATTGAACGGAATGAATGGTGGCAACATGTGGCAAGAAAGCAGTTGGCGAACGTGACTAGTGCCACTTGGGCATTCTCAACTCAAGGCTTCTTTGTACCAGCTTTGTGCCAGCACACGTCAAGGATTGGGAGCTCTAAACTTGCAAAACCAACCAGCTACGCCAGCCTGGCGGAAGGCCGGCAACATAAAGATTCCTGAAATGCCAGCGACTTCCAGAGAAAGCAGCTTAACTCAAACCTGAACCACAAGGCCGCAAGGAAAACAGCAGCGCAGGCAGCACCAGCCAGCTGTAGAATCTCAGCTGAGCGGCGTCCCTACGTACGACATCACTGCCTGTCAAGCAGCATGGAAAAAGCATCAATGGCTTTCACACTGCAACTCTCAGATGACTGCGACATGACTTTCATGCTGCCTGTGTCCATATGCCTTTGGCATGAAGCCATGGCAGGCACGGCCGTTGGTAATTTGAGCTCAGCTGAGATGCGGCCGGTGGCAATGCACAGTTCATGTACAGGAAGGCAAACATGAGCAGGGGGCTCTTTGACTCAATAAGAATTATAATTAGCAAAGAATCTATTAGCTTCTTGTTACTACTAGTAAGGCACTTGTTACTAGTAGCGATGCACTTGTTACTAGTAGCGAACTTGTTTCGGGTGTCATGGATATGGGCGGATACGGTGCAGAAGTGCAGGCATGCGCTTCACATTGAGGCCATTAGAGTCCAGTTCTGAGACCCTCAGTGTCCTGCGCTGCCAGTGCGTCACCGACAAAAAGGCCATCCTGGACAATCGAACCCTCAATCGACAAATAATCAAGTCAGGCATGATGATTCAAACACTCTAGTAGCGATGGCCACCACCCTAATAGCCATGGCCTCCACCCTAGTAGCGATGGCCTCCAACCTATAGCCTCCAACCTAGAAGCAATTGCCTCGACATCTACACTCAAAACCTAATCAAAGGGTGGCTGGCGGTGACTGTAAACAAGTGTGCAGTTGGCACTCATAGCACGTCACACCTTGACCTTGACCGCTCCGAGGATTTCGTAACCTGCAAATGTGCCATGTTGTCAAACAGGTTCTCAAATATTCTGCCATATCCAAACGAAATGATTTCGACAAATCTGAGCTGCAGCACCGAGGCCATCCCCAGACATCGTTAACTAACATTGCTCAAATTTCACCTCAGGGTCAATTTAGGATGAAAGCAATCTGCTCCAACCCCACAACAAACACAACATGGCCACAATGTAAGGGAACCACTTGGAGCCGGAATCTTTCCAAACAGCTAAGGTCAAGGCACCGCAATGGCACTGTGATGGTTTCCATGCAAACGGGCGAAACGAAACGCATTGCAGGTGGGTGCACTGGTTGTGAATGTGAATCTTCAATCCGACGTCAAGCTACTAGTGCGACATTCGGTGAGGGAAGAAAGCTCTTTATGTGAGCTCCATGAACTTGGAGCATCATGGGCTGGGTATGGGCTGGAAAATGTTTGAAAGGGTTCGAGGAGTGTGTCTCTGCACTCTAGCGCCTGCGCAGCCTAGTGGTGAAGCTCTTCTCCACCATCTTGCAGCCAAAACCAGCACCAGTGATGCAACATATCAACATTCATTCACCTGATCAAAGCACATCATGTTCTTTGTCAAGCTGACTCATACCTCAAATCCAACGTCTAGTTCTGAGCAGGGCAAGAGATTCACCGAGCAAATGGCACAAGGGACAAAAGAATAGATCCAGCGATTTGGGAGGCACCGCAAGGTACCAGGAAGAGTTGAGAAATGTATGGGGCAGGAACACCAAAGAGAGGTTACAAGTCAGTTAGTAACGAGAATGGCTGGAAGCGGCCCAAAGTCTCAAGACGGAGGTGCGCGAAGAATTGCAAAGGAAAACTGGTTCCTGCCCCCCCCTCTCTGGAATAAAGTGGGGCCAAGCCTATGCTGGAATGCTTGGCCAAGAGCATACTTTCCAAAATAGTGGAATGATCTGGTATCGATGACACTGACTCAGCCCTCCCGCAAAGCCCAAAGAGCCCTTCACACTTTCAATCGCCAGGGGTCGCTTTGGACGAACTACCCTGCATGGTTTTCTTGCACACAGAATCAGAAATGTTCAAGTGGCCATTGGCCAATGACCCGAGGTTAAGACAACACTACAGACCAAAGAAGGCAGAGTCCTCCAATACTTGCTTTTGGGCGGAACATGACGACATGACCATGGAGTGGATCAAACATAGGCCCAAAAAAATCCTCAACAGCTGGGCATGAATTTGACGATTTAGCAATGGCAACATTTGGCAATTGCTAATGAATTTGCGAGATGTGCAAGTTTTCTTTAAAACAAGTGGCATGCGTTTGTATGACCATTTGTCAGCCTGACAGCCTGACAACGTGAGGGTGTGACACCACGCCGGCACATCAGCGTAATGTGTGACAGCATTCTACACGCACTACACACAAACATGGCACCATGTCGTCAGCTTGTCGTGGCAACACCTCAGAGGGTCAGAAAACTGCATGATAGCAGGTTGGCTAAGGCCGCACGGTAGTCTGATGGCATGTCAACATGTACAAGCATGACAAAAAGGCCGGCATGTGAGGCACTATACGCCATGTATCTGCAAAGCGCTCCGGAACCTGTGGCAAGCTGGTCCCAGTCTCCGGAACCTCCAGAACCTTCTCCTGAACCTGCTCCAGAGCCTGCTTCGGAACCTGCTCCAAAGTCTATATACTATGGCTGAAGACCCGTTGGGGGGAAAAGGGACCATGGCGTCATGAACAGGGACAAAGAGCTGGTGAGATAGTCCACCTCTCCCAAAGAAAAATTGCCAGGAAACTGCTAGTAAAGTTGGTGCACAGCATACGCCAGCATACGCACTCTCATCAGTTTTGGGCGCTCAACGCCGAAACCTCACATGGGAGGCCAAGCCATGCCTCGGCTCCAAACGCTCCAATTCATCACAAGACGGATAGCTTGGGTGCCCGACGCACATCGTCATGGGCAGTATTGGGGACCCATTTCAGATAGCCTGCCAAAAGAATTGAACGAATAAATCACAAGTGGCTGAGTGGCTGTTTATTGTTATAATAAGTAACATTTTGGAATTCCTGGACAATATTCTACCAGAGCTTTCAATAGGGAATATCTTTCCTTCGATGGAGGAGCATGAATAACTGCCCATGACGCCCCTTCCGTTTCTTCAACACCACCCAAGGCCTTCAAGGAGGAACCGGCTGTCATGTTTCCATCGCGAGTAGAGCTCGCCGCGGGACCCCACCTTGGCTTGTCAAACTTATGAGCGTCCAGCCGACAGCCTTTCGTTTTAGCTTAGAAAGTTAGTCCAGGCATACAGTTTCAAAAAACAACAGCTTCAAACCATGGTGCACAAGGCATCACGAATCGCAGCGATTAGAATTGTGAATGGTGCCCAACACTACAGCTGGCATCCAACTCCTTTGCTCATTCCCGAGTAGCTTTAGTTGAGAAACGTAAGTGAAAAATTTAGAAATGGAAAGGTCCAGAGGTCTAAAGAAAAACACGATTCAAAAATGTAGGAGTATATAGCCATATCCAATAATTCTCGAAAAAACATTTGGGAAATTCAACGGCTTTTCTTTCCAAGCCGGGGTATATTACATATATTGCAAAGCCCACCGTTTATATGTTCTTTTATTCTCATCTTTTTCTGATTCATGTTGGGAAAGAAGTCCGGTCTGAGCCTCTGGGCCTTGAATTGCCACAACGGACTGACCTGAGCGTCTGTGACACGTCACGCCATGGCACCAAGGCGGCACTGAGGCAACAGCGAGAGCAGACACCCTCGGATTGGTGGGAGCCTCAAGGTTGCAAAAAGAAAGGTTAAAGTTAAAGAAAAAGAAGCAGTGTGTGTTTGTGTCTGTGTGTGCTTCCTGCGGAAGAGCAGAAATCTGCTAACAAAGCGCTTCACATTCTTCGTACTCTTGACACCTGTTGTCTTTTAGATTGAACGATCACCTAAACATCAAAAGGATCTTTTTTCTGAGTTCAGCGCATGCAAGAGCAGCGTTGGCTTCGCCAAAAGCTTGTCCTTTACGGTGGCCCACAGTTGGGCGCTGACGGCATGGAGACCGTCCCATCCAAAGGCACAGTACGTATTCTTTGTTGGGGGGTGGCCCACTTGCAAATTCGTAGGAAGAAGTTGTGTAAATTTAAATCAAATCCAGTAATTGCATTGCATCTGCAATATCAATGGCGTTCCCTTCTCTCCATAGAAGAAAAGTTCTGAAGTCTGACTTGCACAAGAGAATCCTGTGTGCTACAAGTGTTCAAGCAATCCGGGATCATGAAGAAGTTGAAGGCCCACAAAATATTCCAAAGTGTAATCTCTTCCATGACAGCGCCAAGCTTGAAGTGCCAACCAATTCTGCAAGTTCAACACCCGCATGCCTGCGCGGGCAAGTCCCTCACAACCATGCCCTCCAAAAGCGCCTCAGAATTGCCACTTTTAAGGCTACCAACCCTGGAAACCTTGGGTCTCGACAAATGACCACTGCAATCCCCTTCCCTTGCTGTTGGCCGTTGGCTCTTGGTCCCTGATCGGTTCCTTGATCCTTCCCTTGCAAATGCCCCCTTATTTCCCGGGAAAGCCTGATGCATGTTGACCTTAATCACCGTACAAAACTGTTCATCCGTCCCTACCCACCGAACTTTGCCGTGGCTACAGCTTTGCGATTCTTAATCTCTTGTATGCGAAAGTGTCTGCGAAGTGGCGGTCGTTTGACTGGTCTGTGATGAAAGATCATTGCAGAATCCGCCGCGCAGGCTTACACCGCTTTATGGTTTTTGCCACTGGTACCTGTAGAATGGACGTGATGTTGCCCAGAGCTGGCTGCAATTGTCAGCATCAAATCCTAAACATGCTGGCATTGGATCCAATGCATCCTGACAGCTAAACGTGTTGCTTCTAAGCGCAAGTCCTTAGCGAAGACCTGCCAAGGTTTGTCTAAAAGGCAACACTTGGACGCGAAACAGCTGGCTGTGACAAGCTGGCCTTGTATCTAAAAATCGAGTTGGCTGGGACTTCAACCTTGGAAGCGGAGTTGGGACCACTTGAGAGGGACCACTGAGTTCGCCGTTCGCCTCAACGGTCGGAAGCGCATAGGACAGAGGAATGTAGGACCTGACAGGGCAGGATCAGTTTCACGACTGAGAGCTCGGAAGTTGAGCTCCCGAACGGGCTGGCAAAAGCAAGCACTTTGTCCTTCAATTTCGGCAAGCTCATTGCTGTGCTGTGAGTCCGTCCGAAGTCCGAAGTGTTCTTTCAGGATTTGCATCCGGCTTCTGCTGCCCCTTTTCATCTGAAGGTCCTGCTCCGGAAGGTACCGAGGCCCGGGTACTGGAATAAACCTCGAAGATTGCTGACACTTCATGCAGCGCGACTGCGTGGTGTCTGAGGCAGACACTCACCAAGACTCAAAAGTGGGCATCCGCCGGCAGCAGCGCGCTGGCCCAAGTGAACAACATACCACGGCTTTCTTTAAAAGAGACGTTTTTGAAAAGGCCTTTCGCAATCTGCTTGTTGCAAGTGGCACGAATGTTTTCTAACGGTTACTGTTTTCTTGGTTCATCTTCCTTCCTTTATGGTGGTTACCCTTTCTTTGTCTAAAGCCTCTACGCTCCCAAAAGCCTCTACACTCCCAACTCCCAACTATTCTATACAGAGAAAGAGAGAAGGGAAAAAAAGGAGACCCGTTTCTTTTGAGGGTGGGTGTGCTTGGGAGAGCACACACTAGCTCAAAACCCTTGGAAAACACTGTAAATACCGTGCAAAATTTCAAAAACTGCTCTGAGAACTAGGCGAAACGCAATTTTTTTGATCTGTCTGTGGGCACAGTCTCCATGTCCAATGTCAATGACAACAAATAACAGCTCTTCGTCTGCCCACTATCAATGTGCAACACCAATGATAAATATTATCAGGTAAATCTCTCTCTGCCCACAATGAATGTAGCATCATGAGAGAATGAAGATATAATACTATACATCTCTAGATTCAATAGCTTTCCTCTGGATCTCTGGGAAAGTAGATTTCCTAGATTTGTGTATTTTCATTGAAGGAAAGCATTTGAAAGAAACACTTACATACATACTTATAGCTTTTTTAAAATACCATGACTATTTCCAGAGATCTAGAGGAAAGCTTTTGAAATGAAAGCTTTATATTTTTTCACAGAAGTGATCAGATCTAGAGGGAACCTTTTGAATTAGAAGTTTGTACATAAAGCAGTTTTAATATAGCAATGATTATTCCAAGGGATTACTTTAAACAAATACTACCTACTCAAAAACATAGTTTGTGTCTTATTACCAGCACTCCTAGGGCAAAAAAAACGTGTAAAATATATGGTTTTGTAACATGTGTGTTCTTAAACTAACTAAACTGGAATTAAAATAGAATTAGGCAAACTTAAATTAGAAGATTTCAATCAAGATCCTTTTAACATTGATTGTGGAATTTGCTATTTATTAGATATTAGATTGCAATAAACATCATTTCCAAGTTCTCTTTAAAACTCATTGTGGAAACTAGTTCTTACAATTAGATTTTAGTTAAGTCCTTTTCAAAGTTAGTGGTGGCTTTGATTTAATATCAGATTGTGTTTAAAGTCGATTTAAGATCAATTGTGGAAATTGTGATGCTTAACTAACTTGAATTGTTTAATTTGTTTTTTTGGTTTACACCGGGGAGAAAGTTGTTGGCGCAACTCAAAAAATGAAATAGCGGGAACAGCCGCGCCATGTAACTCCTTTTTCTCGCTATTTGGCCGTCATAGATGGCGCAAGTGGTCTTTGGATTGCAGAAAATTAAAATTATGCGGGGTGTCTGTGCGGATACTAGTTTTCCCTATTTCCCAAAAAACGTTTGGGGCCTATAGATGGCCCAATATGGCCCAATGGCCAAGTTCTGTGGCAATAGATGGAGCGGTCCCAATCTCCGCTATTTTCTGCAAAATAGCGCACAAACTCATGCAGAATCTTCCTGTTTTTTTAGCCACGGGGCGCATAGATGGCGCAACACACCTGAATGCCCCTGATACCTAAACCTGGCGCAATAAAAAAAAAAGTCACCTCATCAATTTTCCCTGCGGAGTATTTGTTTTTTGGTCTTTTGGTATTCCCTCTAAATTGGGATAGGCTTGGATCTCACAAAATTGCTCAAAAAATAGCTCAAAACCTCAATTTTGGAGAGGATTTTGCAAGAAATCACTGTAAAACACAGTGTTTTGCATCATTTTTGCATGAAAAACATCTCCCAGGAGCACCCGTTCTGTTTCTTTTCAGATCATGGCCTTAACCAGCCGGTAACAAAACCCGAGCCCGTCATCGGTGTCACTACTCCTCCAGAAAACATCGTCAAGTCTCTGACAGAAGCGGCACCTTTGCCAGGTGCAGTGGGTCCACATTGATGCAATCCCTGACCAACTCAAAACCCACAGCTCAGCTGCACACACCGAACACCAAGCCGCTCCTCATAAACGGCTTGTGAGTCGAAATGATCTCCTTGTCACGTCTGTATGTGTGTCAACTCAGAAGACACCGAAAAGGAAGCATGCTCTGGAACTCAGAGAGGCACATTGAAGACCAAAACCGAAGGGTGAGGCCTCCCAACGCAGAAGACAGCTTGGCAGTGCAAAAATGAAATGGAGTGAATCCTGCAAAAATCATAGTTCAAAGTCGTGCATAGCGTTTAGGGAACTCAGCAAAAGCTTCAGACAGGGCTCAGCGAGAGCTCAGCGGGCTGTGCTAGCTGCTAGGAAAAAATCACCTTGAATCAGAACACCTTTTCATTTGGTCTTGGACTTTGGACATCACTACCCCTTACTACAAATAAGCATGCTTTAGGTGTCTATTTTCTTCCACAAGCCGCCATACCCCTTACCACCAGGAAAACAAAGAAGCTTTGTGGAAGAGGTGGCCAAGGGGGAGGAGCATCGTTCTTGCGCAAGTCTTGGGATTCGCTGCGAGTCTTCCAACTTGTGGGCGGTTGTTGTGGCCACTTGCACGGCGTTTCACGATTCGGAAGCGAGACAGGACAGGACGCGCTGAACTCATTGAGCACTTCAAACCTCCCAGCTGGAAGCTCCGCTGTTACTGTGCACGAGTTGTCACGGCTCATTGGTGGGGTTGCAAAGCCTTGAGGTGACAGGGAGTTTATTGTTTAAGGTGAGGAGCTTGTACAAAAAAATGCACATAAGAATCAGAGATAAAAAAATAAGGCAAGGCCCCTCCAATAAGGCCCTTGAAGGGATGCCCTTAATTAAAGGTGCCCGTGCCTTCTTTCCCATTCTCTTCTTCAAAAAAGGGCCACCATTTGGGTCGCTCTGTCAAGTCCCACTTAGCCCGAAAGGGTCCATGTCTGGTGGTTCCTTTGATTTGTGAGTAGCAGCTCCTGGCATTTCTACTAGTATCAAGAAGCTACTGGTAACAAAGGGCTTCGCTACTAGGAGCAAGGACGCTACCAGTAACAAGTGCATCGCTTCTAGTAACAAGTGCCTTACTAGTAGTAA